CAATAAATCGCGATCTTGTAAGACAGCTGGAGATGATCATATCTTTTCGCTCAGCTTGAGACAAATAAAAACACTCACTCCCAGCACTTGTACAGTATACTGTAACACTCTTCAACATCTACAGCATACTGTACAAGTAAATTGAGACAGTAGACTGTAAATTGAGACAGTAGACTGTTCTTAAAATGTGTGCCTAAAACTGTCCAACTTCTGTCCTTAAAACTGTTCCTAAAACTGTCCCTAACCAATATCCAACCAGACACCTCAACCAATAATATATAATGGTTGTATTACATAATCCCCCTATCTGTACCCCCTCTCACCTGCCACACCTGCCCTCAAACTGCACGTGCAAGTTGCTTTTTCCCCTGCACCGAATCTGTCTCGCTTCTGGGAGGTCGTATCGGGCGTGTGGGCGGCATGGGCGCTTAGTACAGTGCCTAATTAGGGTTGGAAATAAGGTTCACAAATAGGCGTCATCAAATAGAGTTTCGCTGTTCCTGACTGACTGGACGCTAGACTGGATAAGTGGATAAAACATGAATAAAAAAGGTGGAGGAAAAAAAGGCGAAAAAAAGAGCGGAGATAAATACCATGATTCTACTGTGCCAAAAGCTATACATTTACACTCGTTTTTTGCCCCCTTTACCCCTGCAAATCACGCAATGTAGTTCCCTGCATCTGCCAGGAACAATGCTTCCACGGCGCATATGTAAGTTGAGATGAGAGTAGTACAAGTCTGTGGATACTGGTCCTACAGCTCCAAAAACAGTCCCATTCGATTCATCGAAACACGACGAGCACGACGATCTATTTATTTCTGTCCCAAAACCACTTCCCCCTTTTCTACCCCCCCGGTCATCATCTTTTGCGAACCTACTTCTCCTTAACCTCGCAGTTACCCTCCATGCACTCCACCGTACTGTATATCTTTTCCTGCCCATCCTCATTCTTCTTCCTCAGCCTCAAATGTCCTTCCAAATTCTCCAGGCTGCTCTGGTGACCGCCACGCTGGTCGTAACCGCGCTGGCAGTGGTCCAGATGAAAAACGATCTCCACAGCATCGACATTATTCCTGCCGACGGCTACATCATCACCCTGGCCAGTTTGTCGGCCGTGTACATGATGATGTCGTACTCGTCTGTGATCAAAAGCAACAGCATCAAGGTCGTGGGCGAGACGTTTCTGTGTCTGGCCTGGCTGGCCGGAACCATTCTCATCGGCGTCCAAAGAGGAGGCATGTCGTGCTTCTCTGTCGCCGAGGTGACCAACCACAACTCCACCCTCACCCATATGACCATCAAGGTGCTGAGTCAAGCCAACTGCAATCTCGGCAACGCTTCCATCGCGCTGTCGGCAGTCACCTTTGTCGCCTTTTGTGTCTCTACATACATGACTGTCACCGGAAACTACTCCGTTGTCGTTGTTCCCAAGGGCCATCAGCGACTTCCCCAAGACGATAAGGACGTCGTCGACAAGTGCTAATACTAACTGATTGAATACATAATACGAGAACTGACAGAGCTACTGTAGGGAGCTATACTATAGTGAGCTACTGACAGGATACTATAGTGGAGCTACTGACAGGATACTGTAGGGACCATAGTGAGCTATAGAACAGTACTGGCCTTGTAGAAACTTGTCCAGTAGAAACATGGTCAGTATATCAGTACAACAGTGACTGTGCTTATACAATCCAGTAGATATCTCTCTAGATGACTTTCACTCTTAGCATCAGAGCTCAGTTGAAGCTATCATGTTACTGTACAGAAGGAGCATATAGCGAATAGAGCTACAGGGAACTTCCTATAGATGTCACACAACCTTCAACTAGAGCTCATAGACCCACTGTCGTTGTGAAGTGGGTATTTTTGGAGGAGTGAGGAGATCTATATGTGAATTGAAAACACACAGTTGGGAAATGTAAAACTCGATCGTTGATCGTAGGAGACACTTTTAGGGTATCAAATGAACCACCCAGCCTTGGGAAACACGATGATCAAGTCGCCTTGGTGATATGGGTATTTATGGGGCTTCTGGACGCAGTGTTTGTCTCAAAAACGTCTGCAACCCCGAATTGGCACCCCCAGCTGACTTTTTGCTTCAACTAAAGAAGTAACTAGGCTAAGTAACGGTAGTTGGAAGGTAAATGGCAGAAGTGATTGAAGAATAAAAGTAGACTAGAAGGATGAGAGCATAGAAAGTGACTTATACTGTGGGATACGAGATTACAGCCACACAATTACTGGATCTGTACTTACACCAGCAGTTGTAGCTTGACTTCTATCTTATGTCATGACGGTTCAAGTCTACAGCCAAAAATGAGTGAATAGTAATTACTACACATTGTTTATTTCATCCTATATAAAAGTGCTACAGTAAATGTCCTCAAAAACTCCGACGTCATGATAATTATACACTCTTTTGTGGATTTCCATATCATATGTCCTTTTCCAGTCATCTGTCTCTTTTTTCGTCATGATACACTCTGATAACATCACTTGTAAGAATACCTACATGTCTTTCTAAGGGGTAGTCTAGCTCTACAGTCATTGTACAACCCCTTCTTCTGTAGAGAAAAAAATCAGACAATTCTCTCTTTGATATCTACTCTCTAGCATGCCATTGACTGTATTCCGACAGCTGCTATTGTGATATTGTATATACTATCCCAAGTGCAACCATTCTAGAAGTACGAGTACGACAATGAAGAGAGTCTCAGGAACTACTCAGTACTAACCGCCCTTCAACTGATTTTACAACCTCTCTTCTCTTCACAGTAGTTCCTATCTCTTCTCTTCAATGTACTTCCTACAGATCCTCCTCAACGTCATTACTCTGGTTCAACCTGTTAAAATTTCATAATCTATATACCATCTACTCCCCGTTCACCTCAATGGGCTCAAAGGCTCGGACGACCTCGCCCTTGGTCTCCAAAAAGTCCTTGACGTCCTTGACGGAGTATTCTCCTCTGTGGAACATGCCAGCTCCAAGAGCAGCGTCAGCAGAGGTCTCTCGGAACACTTCCTGGAAGTGGCCCGGGTTTCCAGCACCAGAAGAAGCAATGACGGGAATCTTGACGGCAGATTTCACGTGGTCAATAAGCTCCAAATCAAAGCCAGAGTTGGTTCCGTCCTTGTCGATGCAGTTGAGCAGGATTTCTCCAGCTCCAAGAGCCTCACAGGCCTGAACGAGCTCGAAAACTCCGAGATCTCGGGCCTCTCGTCCGCCCTTGACGGTGCACTGGTACCAGCAGTACTTTTTGCCGTCCTCAGAAGGGTACTTTGTCTCAATGCACACTCTGTCGGCCAAAGGAGCATCAACATAGACTCTCTTGGGATCGACAGAAACAACCACAGCCTGAACTCCATAGGCAGCAGAAATGGTCTCCATGGGAGTCTTGCCAGAAAGAGTCTTGCCGCTCTTGTAGTACTCCTCTGCGGCAAAAACGGCATCAGAACCAATACTCACCTTATCAGCTCCAGACATAAAGTACTGGGTAGCAACTTGGAGAGCAGTGGTAATGTTTCCAGACGAATCAGTAACGTCTCGAATACCACCTCCAACTGTAAGAGGCACAAAAACAGTCTTGGAAGTCTGTCGAAGAACCTCCAACATGGGAAGATCCTGAACAGGACAGTCTCTGAAAGAAGTAATGTTGAGAAACGTCACCTCGTCAGCTCCGTCCTTGTAATACTTTTCGGCCATGGAAACGGGTTTTCCCAGGTTTCGAACATGTCCCTCTCCAGTCTTTTCTCGAACATCATACTGGTCTCCCTTGGTGACCACAAGATCTCCCTGGTCGTTGGTACGGACGTCCAGACACGCAATAACTCGCTTAGTCAGGCCAAACGAGGTCTGGGGAGCAATAGCCGCGTCCTCCACGTACTTCTTTCCCTTGAGAAAAGCGTCAATGACCCGCAGACCGGCTGCTCCAGACTTTTCGGGATGGAACTGCGTGGCCACAACATTGTCCTTGGAAATAGCAGCCACAAACTGCTGGTCGCCATACTGTGACGTGGCAATATCCCAGCCAGCAGCCTCAATCTTGCTCTTGACATTCTCGTCAAGAATACAAGCGTAAGAGTGCACAAAATAGTACTTGGAAGAAGGCACCATTCCGTACAGAGACTTGTGTTCGGCGAAATCCTTGCTGTCGACCGAGTTCCAGCCAATCTGAGGCACGCTCTTGGTCTTATCGTCAAATTTGCTCAAAACTCCAGGAACCAGACCCAGACCAGCAACAGTCTTGGACTCTTCAGACCCCTCGAAAAACGCCTGAAGACCCACACAAATGCCAAACAACGGCCGTTTGCTCTCAATGTACTTTTTCAGCGGCTCAATGAAACCTCGAGAGTCAATTTCCTTGACAAAGTGGCCAAAGTTGCCTACTCCGGGAAAAATGAGCTTTTCAATGGAGTCCGTGATCTCCTCAGGTTTGGAGACCCACTCCACGGTGTACCCCAGGACATTGAGGGCGTTTTCCAGCGACCGCAGGTTGCCCGATTCGACGTTGATAACGTGGATAATGGGCATTTTTGGGTAGAATAGTGTAGTGGTGTGTTGTATGGAGATTTAGAATCGTAGATATTCAATTTATTTTAGTTCTCCAAATTTGACTCATCGCAGCGGTTAGAGTTCATGACTCAATCTGTAGAGAAGGTGCTGGGAGAGAGTGCAAGTAAAAGTAAGCTTTTGTGGGGAATTGGGGGGGTAACAGGATTGTATATTTTGGAGGTGGTGGTATTGGAAAATGATTATAAACTGTATAAATCGATACTCCTCATAATTCTCTACAGAATGGTATAGATATCTTTGATTTTCCATTTTCCAATCGCTAGTTAAATTAGAGCATCTACTTTTCCTCTCCCATAAGTCCAAACCATCTCACTCCCATCTAACCAATAGAAATCAAAAACGGGCAAGTATAGATAACTTCATTTCGTTCGCGATCATCGTCTCGCTTACAAAAAAACGGTTTTTCACTCAGTTGGCAAAAATGAGACCTGCGAGATTCGAACTCGCGCATCTTGCGATACCAGGGATTTTATGTTTAAGCGTGTTACACCTAAACCTGGCGCCTTAGACCGCTCGGCCAAAGTCCCAATTTTTTATTTTTTTGAAATCGTGCCTGCCACACTCAAAGCGCTGGATCACGTGACCCTATCTCGCGATCTAGCTGATGTAGAGATATATACAGTATAGATATGGGTAATTTTGGTGTCTAGAATTCGAATTTTGTGGTCAGATTGAGGTCACGTGACGAATTGGGGGTGTGAGAGGCGTTTTAAAATGTCAAATTTTTGGCCAGATTTTTGGGAGCTCAGGAAATGACGGTAATGATTTTGGTAGAGTAGATAAACAGTCTGTAGGTAATTTAACACGCTTCTCTTCAATACTAATATATTTATGGTATTTAATTTATTGTTATATTCTCCCTTTGATGCTCTTAAAGATGCTTCATTTTTACTGTTTTCAATACTCTCCAATTCACCCGATATTGTTCCAATTTGGAAAATTAAAATACCATATGACTCAAAAGCACTTATTAAATATCTCTACATAACCTTCGATCAAATTACAAAACATTTTCTCCACAAACTCGTTTTCTCCGTTCTCCTCCACTACATTACTTGACCCTAACTACCCTCTAAACCCTATTCACGATAGCCTCTTATCTGTGAAAAAAAATTGGAACATTGTTTTCAACCAGACTAACACTTTCCAAACACACAAAAAAATGGCCAAAACTGTCAAGAGTAATAAGCGGGCCGACCGACGGGCCATGCCTGAGGATCTCGCCATCGACTCGTCTTCCAAGACCGATCGGGACTCTGGAAAAGCTATTGTTGCCGAAGCCATTGCCAAAATGAAGGTCCGAGAAGGAGATCACGATGATCTGGACGATATCATTGCTACCAAGACGACTCTTAGCGGCGGAGGCATCACCAAGCGGGGCCACCAATCTTCCAAGCAAAAACTGCGGCGAAAAAAGGCCATGGAGCGAGCTTTTGAGACCCAGGAGCAGCTGGCCCACAAGACGGAGACTTCCAAAATGCGGTTCAAAAAGGTCAACAAGAACCGAAAGGCCACGTGGGACGAGACCAACGAGAAGCTGGAGGCCGAGAAGCGACACAAAATGAAGGACGCCCGAGAAAAGGCGGAGAAGGAGAAGGCAGCAAAGAATGCTTTTGCGTTGTTGGAGGAGAGTGAGGCGTAAACAGAACGTGGACCGAAGGGACACGTTCTGGTCACGTGAGTCTGTTAGAAGTCACGTGAATGTATTAGATGTCACGTGGTGTCTTCATAGTCATGTGAAGTTGACACGCTGACAGAGACACTACTTGTACTAGAACATGGAGCAGGAATAAATTGAGTATTTATGGACATTAGAAGAGTCGATGTAGAAGAGTTGAGTTAGGTGTAGATTCTGGCTGGTTTGAATACGCCAAAATGCCACACGAAAAGTTGAAACAGAGTCCATAAGTAAGCCTATATAGGTCACCGACTGTCGATGAGCTTCAGAGACTTCTATTTCAGAGTCACTGGTACAAACTGAGCTGTTGTGTAAAAGCCTAGCTCATAGTATCTTTGGCAATACTATGTGTGTGTTATATATTGAAGACCTTGTTAGCTATAATGTGGAAGAGGGTCTGTAGAAATATTGAGAAGGGTTATAGACATAGGGGGTTGGTAGGGTGATTCGAAAGAGCGGATTCAATCAGAATTTCAACTTTTCTTTATCACTCGTTTTTTCTGTTAACCGAGAAGCAAGGTCTTAGTTCTAGATCGCAGTCAGAAGGTATTCAAAAAGTATTTCTACAATCAAAGTGAGTTGGTATGTTACTGTAGGACAATAGTTGAACTTGAACAGAGTGACCATGGCAAAAATGAGTTGATTATATGACTTAGAACTCATAACCTGTATAACTCTTGCCATGTTCTATTTGCAACTTCCTGTTCAACAATGGCTTCTGCTTGTGCTCGTACTACTCATCATTATGACATCACTGAGCATGATGCAATCCATCGATCGTAAGGGACATAAATAATCGTCAGATTTGAGACAATCGTGAGAATAAGTATCAAAATCTAGAGGGGAAAGAAAAACAATGTCACAGGGACTATATTCTGTCGCAGTCTTTACTCTGTGCCTGATCGAATTATCACTATCCTTTTTATACCGGGTTCTACAATATTGTCTTGCCATGAGCTACACAGCTGTGAACATGTAGATAGAGTGACTGTATCTGGAAACGTATCCTATCAGAGACATATATTCTGAGATAATTGTCGTATGTTCAAGTATCATATGTAAGATTATCGAACGTACAAGTTGTACAACATGTTTTTGGGGGTATTCGAGTTCTATCTCTGGTCTTAGTTAAGGTGTTAGTTGAGATTAGTTGGGTTAAAAGTTCTGCTGGGGGTTCAAATTCGAGCTTCCAGAGGAGGTGGAGGAAAGTGAAGTTACTCAGGAGAGATTTAGAAGTCTGGTTTCTAACTAAAAACAAGATAGTAATGTCTGGAGTTACAAACTCGACGGATATTTCGCTTCTCGCGTATCCTTTCAGTATATTTTAGTTGGAATCTACTTACACTTTAGTTGAACTCAATCCACCAATGGGGTCAAACGAACCTTTCGGTCCGGTTCTGTCTGGTGACTCTCCAGAGCTAGTGTGGCATTAAATTTAATTAAATTGAATTAAATTAAAGATTATTTAAAGTCATAAATCTCGTATTTATTGACGTCGTACTTTATTCCTATTACTTTGAACATTATTCCGCAAATATTTAAAAATAGATAATAATATTAATTAATTAAATCTACTAGATTTTGACATAGTTGAAATGTCTATATGTCAATAATGCACTTTTCGCAATTACCTCAGTCTCCATATGAGTATAGAAACTGCAAGTAGGCTCTGTTTGATGAAAACAGGATTCCAGTGTACCCTGAGCCGTAGTAAACTGAGACTTGCCAGCTTTCTGGGTCTGTATGGGTTGTTCTGGAGGTCTCAAGTATGAGATCAATGTCCAAATGTCCAAAATCAATTGTCCATATCTTTTTGATTGCACAGTCATCGTACCACTTTGGATGGTCCAAATATGGTACACTGTACCAACAACTTCTAAACCGTCTCTCCTGAAATGTCTTAACGAGAACAACCAGCTGCTCTCATCTTTTGCCACCCATCCAAAAACCCTCTTTTCAGTCTAGGTTCATAGACTAAACCGACATGGCTTTTTATGGGCTCAGGCATCCCAGGGTCTCAATGTACAGGCCAACGCGTTGGTGGGGGTGGTGACAAGTGGTGTCAAGTGAGCAGCTGGTGAGTAATCAATTCCACCACCCACCCGTTCGTTCCACCCGTTAGTAATCCACCACTACCATCCTCCATCTCACTACCTCCTATCTCGTCCCCAACCACACTTTAACGTACGGCCGTGGATATTGTACCCATTGAGCTGCGTCATGGCCACCTGCGCCCGTTTGTGCGAGTCGTAGCTGACAAAGGCGTAGTTGGAGTGGTGCTTGAGCTCGACCACGTATCCGAAGTTCTGCAGCAGCGGAATCAGCTCGGACGGATGCATATTTGGCAGGTTGCCGATGTAGATGGTTTTTGGCAAGCCCATTTTGTCTCCCCCTTGTCCTCCTCCTCCTCGGTCGTTGTTGCGATCGCTTCGGTCGCGGTAGTTGCGATTGTTGTTGTTGTTGTTCATCATATTATGACCTCCAGGGCCTCCGTGATGGGGACCTCCTCCGCCTCCTCCTCCCATCCCTTGGTTCCCGTAAGCCCCAAAGTTGCCCATGCCATTATTGAATCCTCCCATGGGCCCTCCCATGCCGCCCATGTGTCCTCCCATGCCCATGCCGCCGCCCATATGGCCTCCCATCGGTCCTCCCATATGTCCTCCCATATGTCCTCCCATGTGGCCTCCCATGTTATTACGTCCTCCCTGCGGGCCCATTTGTCCGGGTGTGACGCCGCGTCTCGAGCTGGCCCAGTTGGCCCGGATGACCCTGCTGCCCAGAACAGAGCCGTTTTCAATGAGGCCACGTTCGGCGCCCTGTTTCGTCTCAAACGACACAAAGCCGTAGCCCCGCGACCGGCCGCTCGTCATGTCCCACATGACCCGGGCGTCCAGCAGCCCCGGAATGTGCGCAAAGTGCTTGTGCAGCATTTCGTCGTTCACGTCCGCGCCCAGGTCGCCCACAAAGAGATTGTAGTCGCGCTCCACCTTGGTCTGGAACGCAAACGAGATGGAAATCTCGTGCCCGTGGAGCTGGCGGTTGTTGAGCGTCTGCATCGCCAGCTGCGCAGCCTCCTTGTCGTCGTACTCCACAAACGCAAAGTTGACGTTGGCCTTTTGGCGGTCCGGGAAGATTTTGATGGACTTGATGTTGCCCGTGACCTTGAACAGGTCCAGCAGCACCGCCTCCTTGACCGAGGCGTCCACGCCGGCCACGTAGAGCACGTGCGGGTTGATTTCTCGGCCGCCACACGTCGCTATTGCCACCGACCCGGTTGTTGAGCCTGGCGTGGAGCCTACGCTGTTTGTGTCGCTCCCGTGGCCGGATGGCGTTGTGTTGACCGTGCTGGCGGCGGTATACGTGCTGTGAGCCACTGGTGTTGTTGCCGGTTTGAGTCCTGGGATTGGCGATGTCGGTTCGTTGGCATTGTTGGTGGCATTGTTGGTGACGTTGGTGACGTTGGTGGCATTCGTTGTGTCATTCGTCTCGTTGGCCTCAGTCGTCTCGTTGGTGTTTGTGTCGGTCACATTGGTCGCAGTATCGTTTGTGTCACTCGGTTTGTCGTTTCCGTCACTCGTTCCGTCACTCGTTTTATCATTTCCGTCTGTGTCTTTTGTCACACCCGTCTTGTCACTCCTATCGCCACTGTGGGTATCTCTGGGCGACTTTGGCGGCGTCGGAGAGGCCGGAAGAGCCACCACCGCGTCGGTGGTCTCTGGAGACGTCTGTGGCGGCGTGTCTGTGACGGGAAGCGTCTCCAGCGACGTCACAGAGACTGTAGTTGCCTCTTTGGCCACTCCTTCCGCTCCAGGCAGAGAGGGAGAGACCGCCGTTGGATGTTCGGGGCTC